GGGTCCGCGGACCTAGCGTGTCCTCCTCCCGCCCCTAAATAACGCCACGGCCTTTGTCTGCAGCCCCCCCCCCGCACCCCACACACACACTAAGAAGTCCCCCCAAAGCGACGGGCATGGGAAGGACTGTCTTGTCTTTGAAAAGTCGTGGCCCGGACGCGGGAGCCAAGAAGCGGGGAGGGGCAAACAGACATCCCGGATCGTTCTCGGGTTCAGCAGCAGCGAGCCGGGCGTCCGGGCGAGGTGTCTGGGTGCGCGCAGCCCTTCCGGGGGCGAGGCCAGGGGGGAGCAGGGGGTGATTCATAACTCGGACCCGGCCGCGGGGTCTGGGCGCAGGGTGGCAAGGCTGCCAGGCCGGCGCTGAGCGGGGCCGCCGGGTGGCGGCGGTGACAGGGCCTGCGAGGGGAGCTCGGACCCCTCTTCCCCGGCGGATGTGCTTCCTCGGAGGGACTTTCCTCCGGGAGGACTGACGGGATTCCAGGCCTCCGTGCGGATGTGGAAAACCGAGCGGGCTTGTCGCAGAGTCCAAGGTCAAGGAGAAACCAGGGTGGTCCTGGAGCCCGGTTTCTTTCCATTGCACCTGGAGTTGTGCTTTCGGTGTCCCGAGGCCCTGGGATGTTTCAAGGACTGTCCTGGGCCGAGCACGGTGCCTGGCACACAGTGGTGCTCAGTAAGGACCTGACGAAGCATGACAGCAACAGTGACTCCTAAGGGCGCACCAGGAGCCACGCCTGGGGGCTCGGCTGGGCTGGGCTTGGTCTTCCTGCAGAGGAGGGGTCCGCAGTGGTTCCGGGGAGCCCTGCCTGATCTGTCTGGGGAAGTGGCTTCAGCAGCTTGTCCCATGGTGCCCTGGGGGCTGGCATCGGGGGAGTTGAGTGTCATCATTGGCATCTGCTCCCCTGAGGGGCAGCAGGAGGCTTCGTTTCTGCAGCTGGCTGAGCTGCGGGCTGGGTGCTGTCCCCCAGGGCTCTGCGGGGTGTGCTGGAGAGGGGCCTGGCGAAGGGGCTCGGAGCCCCGTCTTCCCGCAGGGGCTGGGCTGCGCGTGGCAGCAGGTGGAGGGGCAGTCTCAGTCCCCACACTGAGCACTCGGTGGGTGCCTCTGTGCCAGCTGGCAGGAACGGCCCAGAAGAGCAACAACATCTCATGTTCTTGGAACTGTGATTGCAAGCGGTCTTGGGGACGATGGCTTCCTGGCACGGGATTGAGAGTGCGCAAGGGTGTGGGGCCATGTCATTGCGAAGAAGAGTGTCCTCCCCCCCCCCCCCCCCCCCCCACCATCCCTTCGTGACTAGGTTCACTGTGCAGTTCAAGCTTCTAAATGGTCTTAATGCTGAAATTAGCAAAATACGTGGGCAGCACCCAGGACTTTGGCCCCAGATCAGAGGAGTAATGTGGGCTTGGCCACCCCAAATGTCAGGTGGGACGCTGCAGCCAGACCCTTCCCAATGCCGCCTTCCACCATAATCATGTCTTCTGTGAATCAAGTGCTCTACACACACTCTCTCAGTGAGTGAGCCCTATGAGGTTAGCGTTTATCACTACCTTAGAGATTCGGAAGCCGAGGCTCAGAGAAGTTAGATCGTGTAACGTTTTCAAGGTCGCACACCTGGCGAGGGACAGAGCCAGGATTTGAACCAAGGCCGTCTGACTCTGGACCCGAGCTCCCGCCATCACGCCAGGCTGTTTCTAAGTCCCTGCTGGCTCTCCATGGCAACAAGGAAGCAACAAGGATCCGCGGACTAGCACGGTCCTGGGGCCTCTGCCTGCAGCCCTCTTTTTCCACACACTCTGCCCAGCTGGGTTGCACCGTGGGCCACGGGAATGAAAGGCTGGGTGGCACCAGGCTGCTGGAGCTTTCCACGTGGATCTGGAGTCAGGAAAACGTGGGGGCTTGGGAGCGATTTCGGGGAGATGTTGTGGTAGTTCCAGCGACAGATGATTCGTAGCTTACCTGAGACATGGGGACAGAGCTGCCACAAGTCACAAGTTTGGGTTCGGGAGAAGCTGCCAGGTAAACATGCTCAAACAGATTATGACATTCCTTTCCCTCGCTAGGAGAGAAATCCAGTACACAGGGAAATCCGCCCTCACGGCCACGTCCTGCCGTCACTCACGCGGTAAATGTAAAGGGACATGTCCGGCTGTCCTCACCCCCTACACCCACCCCCACCCAGTGCCCGGAGAGCTGGACTCCTCTGGTGTCAGGCCCTCGGGAGAGCCCGGGGCAGCGGGGGTAGGAGGTGGGGTGGAGGAGGCCGCCTGGTCCCCAGTTGATGCTTTCTCACACAGACCCCTCAGGGACAGTGGTTACTGTCTCCACTTTAACAGATGAGGAAATGAGGCTCTGAGAGGTGCCGTGGGTGTCCAGGATCCCAGCGCCAGGGAACGGCCATGAGCCATGCAGCCTTCAGGACACCCCTGCAGCCTTTAGGGGCGGCCGGGTGTTCAGTCTGTTGCGTTCTAGAGCCCGGAGGGCTGAGCGGGATGACCCTGCTGGGACAGGGTCCTCATTGTTCTGCCCAAAAGCCTCCGATGCCGGTTTGCCCAGTGGGAAAAGCTGGCGACCTTAAGCCAGGAGCCCTGCCCAGGCCCCCGGAAGCCCCCTGGGTGCATTCCGAAAGCCTTCCCAGTGCCCGAGTCCCTCTCTCTCCCCACTCCCTTGCGGAGTGGACCTCTGTCCAGATGGAAGTTGGAAGACTGGGTGTGGGAGAAGCTGCCCCACCCGAGGGACAGGAACCCCTGGCCCCGTCCCAGTGCCTGACTCGTGGAAGTACTTGGGAATCCGTGCAGGCCAGGGACAGGCCAGGAGCCCCCTGCTGAGGGACATCTTAGTCAGAGGAAGCATTCAGAGAGGTCTCTGCCCTTCATGAAGTCACACAGGAGGAGAGGAGACAGCTCTCCTTTCCGCCCTTAAATAGAGAGACTTGTCCTGTTTCTTCTCTGATGCAAACGATCAATGCTGCCCGCCCTGCCCTGAGCGTGTCAGTTCCACAGCTGGGCGTGGGGTGGTCCCTGACTGACTGGACAGTTCTGTGCTTGAAGATGGACTCACGTCTCCAGTGCCTCAAATCTGGTTGCTCCTGCACCCCTCCACCC